AAACAAAACAAAACACTTGTGTTGGGATATGAAAAAGAACAAAGTAGATGTTTAAGGAAAGAAAAGGAAGGAGGCAAACAAAAAACCAGGGGGAAAAATAATGAAAATCTGTAAGTCTTATGATATGGAGATCCCAATTGCTTTGGAAGCAAAAGGTAAGCTTTACAAGAAGTTACTCCTAACATCATAAATCATATTTTATCTTCAAATGACAAAAATGATAGATCCTGGTTTGAAACCCAACCAAGACTTTACTAAGGTTATTACTGACCAAGTCAGATGGAAAACAGACACATCCCTCAATTGAAATGGATGGCCCCATCCCTTCACCTTTACTCCTCTGCCACTTCAAAGACGACCATGTATGACAAAGAGTTCTATAAAGCACAACACCGCCCCCCCAAAAACCCCAAGAAATAGTGTTGTTACAATTAGCTAATTTTAATAACAGGTAGCACAGATTTTACTAGCAGGCAATAGCATCTGTCTGGAGTCAGACTGCCTGTCTGGATTTGAGTCTAGAGTTTTCCACTTAATAGCTGTGTAGCCCTGGGGATGCTGCCCAGTTTGTCTCTCTGTGGTCTGGGACAAGAACACCCCACCCATTTCCTCACTGGGCTGCGCTGAGGACTAGGAGAAAGAACCTACGTAAAGAAGTACTAGGCAAGGTCCCAGACAGATAACTGAGCCCCTCAGCAGCAGCAACTCGGCACTATGACGGAGAACTGCATGCTATTTACTACAGAGCTGGTGTGGCCCTTCTATTTGGAGCCTCACATAAGGATTATTCTTGGCATCTGTGTTAGCACTAGCCCTCAGCACAGATACACAGATGGCCTGTAATGATAGGGTTTCAATAGACTGCTATGAACCAAAACACATCTCCTTTCAACAAAGTAAAGGTTTTGGTTTGATACTGCAGGCAGGACTAGAAATACCACCTCCACATCGGACTTTCTAATTTGATTTCAAACGCACATCAAGCTAAGGCTGCTTGCCATTCACGAAGTGCAGTGGGTGTTATGTCCCTGCCCGCTTACAAGATTCCAACCAGAAGGAATGGTTGAAGAACCATGATCAAAAACTCTCAAACACATTTGATATGGTCTGTTCATTAGCTACAGCCTTCGAACACCCCATCTACTTGGTACCAAAGAGTAAAACCATCAGATAAAGGGGATGATGATGGGACAAGAGGGTACCATGAAAATCCGGCTGGGGTTTTGCCCCTACCTTACAACTGCTGTCCAGGCCTCCTCTACTCTCAAAACCAGCCCAGTTTAGACCATTAATTATACTGTTAGTCTGACTGTAGTTCATTCAGTATGGGAATTAGTTTAGATCAGGGACAATTCAGAGGAAGTCTGTTAATGGCAGTGGGGGAGGGAAGGATGGAGAAGTCAGGCTCAAGAGGCTGGCTGACCCTTCACTGGTGCCATAACTAAAGTCCTCAAGCATCATTTCCTCTGCCAAAAACAAAAACAAACAAACAAAAAAAAAACAAACCCTAGATGACTAAAACAGACATGAATATTGTTGACTTTCTTGAGTTCAGAAAGGCCAAGGTACTGCTGGAGATCAGCAGGGACTCTGCCCACCCCGCATCCTAAGCAGAAGGGCCTTCAGGAGGAGCCCTTCAATCATGAGTCACCCTGCCATCGATATGTTCACTAGTCCTCAAAGCATTTCAGAGTTATGAAATACTTTAAGTTCTGAAGTGAAAGTAGTATCCTGAATCACCTATATTTACCAAACACAGTACCATACCCCAGTGCATTCCTGACTGAGGTTTTATTGTACAGTATTACACAAAATGCTTATTATTTACATTCATACAGCTCTTTAAAACGGATACAACATTGTGACATTGATTATCCCACCCATTAGAAAAACAACCAGAAGAGATGGAGAAAATAATCCTCAATTTGGAAAAATTAAAACATAAAAAATATTTGGCTAAAATATACACATCTTACATACTGACTCATAACACATGCAAATTTATGTAAATTAGCTTAAAATTTATAGCATGCTGCTGGTGAAAGACCTGAATATGGTGGGGCTCTAAGCCAGTCACCGGTGTCAGTTTACTGCTCATTACAGTAAGACTTTTTTAAAATAACCTGCTTGATTAAGGAAGTCATTAAAAACACAATCTGTATATAACCCTCACAGAACTTGCTTTTTTCAAATTAGCATAAATCAAAATTCACCTTCAAAAATGACTGGGACTTTCTGAAGACCTGCCCTTGTTAAAGTATAATCTCCATATAAAGTAATGAGTCTGTTCTTAATAAATGTTTCACCTTCCACAACATGACAAGAGCAACACATTCCTTAAAATGTTCTATTGTTGTCTTTGCCTTTCTGCTTCTCTCCTGGTAAGAGATACCTGGGTCAAGATAAATGTCTCTGGCAGATAATCAAAACTCGATCAAACAAGGAGCTGAAAGAGGAAAGATTAACAAGAGAGGCAGTGTCCACAGTGGGTACGGAATGGGTCCTAGAGTCAGCGCAGGTGGGCCAAACTAGGCTGTACCGCCCGCTGTGTGACCTTGGACAAGTTGATGAACGTCTCTAAGCTTCAGTTTCCCAGTGGGCAAACCAAGGCTGAGTGGAGTCCTTGCTGGGAAGGCTGCTGCCAAGATGAAAGGAGAGTGCATGTTGTGAACGCAGTAGCTAGCCTGTGAAGGGCCGCTACTCCTATGCTAATGTGGAACCACCACACAAGGTCAGTGTGCTCATGGACTCTTTCGGCAAGTATCTGCTGAATACCCACTAAGCACGGACAAACAAAGATGGATGAAACCTACACCTTGCCCTCTAGTAAGGCCCCGGGAGTTAAAAATACTTAGAATACAAAAGTCCCACATATCTTTTCCTTCATGCAGTAAAATACACAGCACTTCCATATTCAGTCATTCATGTTTTGTTTCCATGGCCTCAGCATTATGTATTACTTGGTCAGGAGAAAACGCTATAATAATTTATAAGGTATCAATAGAATTGATTTTAAATTAGGACATTATCTTAATGTCCTCCTGGGTTTTCTTGAATGTTATTTCCTCTTCCTGGAATAAAGCTGTTGGCTCCACCCCAGAAATTTCATTAAATACAGTTACTTTAGCTGGCGAGCTGAGCTGCTGCTGCTGTGTGATGCTCTGACACCAAAGACACAGGTCTGGTCCTTGTGTGGCCACCTCAGCTTCCCTCTCCGGACAGCCACTGTCTGCCCGTGGGCCAAACTGTGGGTTACATGAGGAAGCAACTGGGAGAATGAGAGGGGACAGGAAAAGTGAGCCCACAGATACTGCTCAGAAGTCCCATCTCTGATCCGGGCTGATCGCCCCAGAGCCGCCTCATGCCCTTCAATCCAATGGACCTCCTCAAAGTTCACAAGACCTAACATTCTTATGCGCGTCTGTCCTCTGTCAAGAGTTCCCTTCCCTCGTAAACAGACAAGATTTATGATCTTGTACGCGCTCTGTAAACTACGGTCACAAGCACCTGCCACCTTCCTCTGGGAATTTTTTTTTTTTTTTAGTACAGCACCCATAAAATACATCCTAGATCATTCATTCGCTGCTGCCTTATAATCAATGTTACCAAGTCACGCTGACAACTACGACACGATACGTGAGTCTGACTGCCCTAAAAACAAAAAGGGGGGACTGGCAAAAATTTCCTTCCCACATTTTCTGGGAAGGTGACTGACTTTGGACCTACACTTGCACTGTGTTCTGTTCCTGAATCCAAATATCAACCGACTTCTACCAGCTGCTTTGAAAGAAGCTGAAGTAGAGCAGCTGCTCCGAGAAAAGAAGTGACTCAGCTCGAAGACTTGGCAAAAGCTATGTCTTAATGGACCAGAATCCTCATTTTAGTAACTATTAAAATTTATTGGAAAAGAAAGCCTTTTCATGTTGCTATTTTTTCCAGTAAACTGTTTTAATCTATTTCAAAGACTAAACCTTTTTTTCTTCCAAAGAGTGTTAACTCCACAGAGCCTCCTATATATCCTTATGTATTACGGATGCAAATATTCTCTATTCTCTACAACATCGGAGGGTAGTTCAGCAGGAACACGGAAGGAAACAACAGTGTATCAATTCAAAGGCAGGCTGCCTAACAGTTTTGAGGGGGCTAATCAGAAACTCCAGGTCTTTGTCTGCCACCTCAATACGGCAAAACAGTTTTCAGTGATGACTCAATTTGGCCGTAAGGTCCTTCACTAAAACACTCAAGTGTGTGCTCTAGAATAGACCCAACAAACATAAACATCATGTGAGCCACATACGTATTTAGACCTTTTCTAGTAGCCAGATTTTTAAGAATTGGAAACAGTAAAATTAGTTTTAGTCATACACTTAGTTAAACCGCCGTATTCCCAAATACCATTCAACGTACAGTCCATATCAAAACCAGCACTGAGACATTTTACGTGATTTTTTTAGTACGAGGTCTTCAAAATCTGGCACGCGTTTCACACCTGCAGCCAGTCTCGATTTGGACTGGCCACGTTTCCAGGACTTTAACAGCCACGTGTGGCTTGTGGCTACCATACTGGATGACAGAGGTCTCAAAGATCCTAAAGCCACAATGGGAATCATGCCTATTAATATAAGAATCTGGCACTTTACAGAAGTACAACAGGACTGACCCGGCCACTGCCTCCCTTCTCCAATCTGAGCTCAGAGTCTCTTTGTCAGAGAGCTGGACATCCCATACTCTTTCATCCCACAGCATGGGCTTCTGCCAAGAACTCATCCCCAGTCCAAGTGGCTAGCGTTTTTCACCTTTTATGTCTCAGCTTAAATGCCACTTTCTCTGAAAGGTCTTGTTGGTGATATTACCCAAGAAGATCTCTCCTGGAAATCTCTATCATAGCCCCTTATTTACTTCCATCCTAGCATTTATACTACAGCCATTATTTTCTTGTCCCTTGTATTTGACTCGAGTTCCACGAAGGCAAGGACCATCCCCCTGGTTTGGTGCCTCAATGAATAGCTGCTGAAAAAATCAGTGAGTACAAAACTTGATCTGTTCCTGTATCAATACGCATGCCTACGTTTGCTTGTTCCCGTATTATTTTCGTGTTACCTGGAGAGAAGAAGTTGTGCGTTACCAAAAGGCAAAAGCTACTGTGCCTTATTACTTTGTGTTCTCAGCACTCAGTATAATGACTGTCACAGCCAGAAGAGCAGCTGCCTGGGGCCGGGAGGACGCCAGTGCAGGTGTGGTGTGTGTAGGCACACCAAAGGAAGGAGGCAGCCTTCAAAAGTCAAAAGTGGTAATTCTGAAAGTGATACAGTGACAAGACAATTTTCAGGATTATGCTGTAAAACTACTAACAGGAAGCAGTACAAAAATTAAAACTGGGACAGAGGGCAGAATGATGCCAGGTGGAAAGAGGGTCTAAGGTGGTAGCTTTACCCTGGTTGTTCCCCACCAGCAAGGGCACAGGATCTGACCTCTGGGTGAACACACAGGAAGTATTTGTTGTTACATAAACGTGACACTATCAAGCCCACCAATTTTTCTTATTCTGAAAGAGATAAATCTTCTACACAAGGGAGACATTTTTCAACTGGCTCTCCTTCGTCTTTCATCATGTACTCGTCACCTGCCTGTGACCAGGGAGAAACAAATCTTATTCAAGTCTGACCACTGAAAAGGCAGGATTTAAATGAATCCTGCCTGACAGACCGACCACAAGAAGAATGCAGGCATCAGCAGTTTTTCTGTGGCTGCTCATTTAGAGAACAGTGATCCCTGGGGATCTCCTAGAAATGTTTATCTCCCAAGGAGGGATGTGGTAAAAGGAGGGGGAAAAAAAACCACCTTCAGTCCTCATGTTTTTTTAATGGATAGTAAGTCACCACACACAGGTGATGAAAGAAACAGCCCCGTATAGGGCAGACAGACATAATACTTGTTTTTTTTAAAAAGAGCTTTACAGTGGCTGATTGTTCAGTCATAGATGACTAGAGTTTTATGTAAATTTTTAGCATGTAAAGCAACATACAGCATGAGTATCAATCAGCTTAACAAAGTGATTTCAGTATACTGACGAATGAAAACAAAAGAGACACAGACACTCGGAGATACAATTTCCAATCTTTCCCAAGAAATGATTTCAAGCAGCGGCTTTCATTTGACAAGCAGATCTAAAGATGCAGGGCTGACAAAATACATAAAACACTGGAGAAACAGGTTGATTCGCCAAGTGTGGGCCAAGCAAGAGGAGTCTGGTCTAACCAGGAAACCACACCCCTTCCACTAACCAGCGCTGAGATGTTGGTCGAATCCCACCCCCTCCCACCACTCGATCATAGGTCAGAGAGCAAAACTGTAAAGGGCCTTACAGAACACGTCTCAGAGGTGTCCACTTGCCACCACAAACAACTGTGGGTGCTGGTCCCCGGCTCCTGTTCTCTGACCTTGACTTTTCCTTCCCTCCCACTCCTCACCTGGTCCCTGCCCTGCCATCAACACCTCTGTCAACGCTTAGTCTTGCTGGTGGCAGCGTGGGCTAAAGAGGTTGTTGACCCTTATTCTAACATGTCCTTTTAGGTTAATTACTTTTGTATACTCGGTGTACCCAGTGACATTTAATCACTACGGCACTACTCGAGTAAACAGAAGTGAATGGAGCCAACTGCAATTTGGCATCGAGCTAAATGGTGCGGTAATAGCAGCATGCTGAAAACGGACCGCGAGAAAATGCTCTCACTCACCACGGTGAGAAATGAGGTGGACACCATTTGATCAATCGCTATTTTATTAAAAAGCAAGCACACTAGCCCAGTGGTAGGCTTTTGCTATTTAATACTAAATACGGCTTAAAGGAATCCTGCACTTTGTAACATATGGACGGTCCAGTAAGTGCCTGCTGACTGCCTGGATGACGACAAAAGTAACTCAGAGTGTGGGTGTGACTTTCACGGTATGGATGTGTCCCCTGTCTCCCTCTCCACAGGCACGCACGCATACACTCAAGCACATGTGTCCTGTGGCAGGATAGCCCTCTGCTAACACAGTCAACCGTCTATCCTCTTGCTAGCGTTTGGGTTTGTAAATACCCGGGGCACAGAAGTTAGATGCAGAATGTCCTAGAACTCTGTATATACATCAAAGCATCCAGTACTAGATTAATCAAATGTCATGCCATAGACCGTGAGCCACTGAAAGTCTGAGAAAACACACGGCCAAGGACTTCTACTGGGAATGGAGAGTGGGTCAGAGAGTCCATCCGCAGCCCTGAACGGAACCAGCCAGAGCAGAGGGACGGAGGGTGATTTTGTCGAAGTGCTTTCAATACTGGCTGGCAGATGAAAACATGAGGCCTTACTCCTCTATCTAAGGAACAACAAAGACTTCGCAAGCACAGTCTCATGTAGCGATGCCAGTAAAATCCCACAACGTTAACCGAATGCTCCTTCTGTACCGGCAGTGTGGTGAGACACTGGGGACACGAAGTGAAGACGGCACCAGTGTTTTGGTGCTGTCGAGTCTAGAGGGAAGGGGATGGAATGGAATAATCACAAGCTGGACAGAGAGAGTGCTCTGGTTTCAAATCTCAGCTCCAGCAACTTATTAGCTGTGTGATTCTGGCAAACTAACCCCGAGGCCTCAATTTTCATCCCTGTAAAATAAAGATACCTGTCCTACCAGATTGTCATGAAGATGAAATGAGATAGCCACATGAAATGGCAAGCATACTGACCTTTCTTTCATGCGTATTTCTGGCATCTGCCCGAGAAGCCACAGGCCAAGGCTTTGCCAGCAGCCCAAGCAGGCAACGGGAGGCCTGGAGCGCGGCCGCACTATCTCCTACTGGCCTGCCTTTGACAGAGGCAAATGGGCAGTTCTTCAGGTTCTGGGCAAAGGCCACCCCACTACTTGCCCAGATTCAAACGTTTCAGCCAGCAGATTCTCTAGTTTGGGCATCTACCTGCCCTATTGGCTTGGTGCCCTCTTCAGAAGTTCTGCTCTTTCCTCTCATTCGTAGGATTCACGTCGAGCACGCCTTCTGACATGACGTTGAGCCGGGGTAGTAGAATAAAGTCTACGCTTGCAACCCCAACCTCACCGAAGTTTGACAAATGACCCTAAGGTGAGTAAGGCGTCGGGACTGATGGGGTGGGGTGGGCCAGGCACTCTGCTGGGCTGTAAGGCACTGACTGAGCACAAAGTACCCCTCAGTTGTAGTAGGGGGCATCAAAATAAACTTATTGATATAGTAATAAAAAATTAGTAAGTGCCAACGGCAACATGTTACAAAGGAGATAAACAGGATGCTAACCTTTAGCGTCCTGACAGGGTGGCCAGGGACTGGTTCTCAGAGAGATGACATTCAGCTGACAGTGGGAGCAGAAGCTGGAGCCAACCATGTGGACGGCCAGGAGAACGCTGTGGACAGAGAGGCAGGAGGCCTGGGTGCCGACCCTGGAGGGCCAGCATGAGGGGCTGGTGCCGGACAGCGGGAGGGCTGGGCTGTGCGGGGCTCAGCAGGCCATGGGGAAGTCTGTTTAATTCTGAGTGCCACTGAGGAGAATGGGGGGATGACACATGTTCTCAAAATCGGTCAGATCTCTGGAAAGTTCTATGTTAGAGGGGGACCAGAGTTAAGACTTTTCAGAGCACTTAAAATCGGAAAAGACCACCTTGCTTACTTACCTCCACCCCCTGGTAATTAAAAATAAAAACAATACTAGGTGCACAACATAAACCTTGCAATTATACGAAAATTAAAACAACAGCATTTTGCTTCAGATCATCAAAACTGAGCTTTCATCACTTCTGTGTCCCTGCTTTTACCAACCCAGTTAGCAGGGAGGCAGTGATCCAGGGCAGATGCAGGTGACTCGGACTGGAGGGGGCACTGGAGAAGGGGCGAAGAGGATGGATTTGAGAGAGATGGGGAGGTATGACCCGGCGACTCACTTCACGCGATCGTGTATGTGTGGCACACAGAAGTATGTGTATGTTGCAGGGTGTGTGCAGGATTATATATGTATTTATAGAATCAGAATGGAAATCCAGCTTGTCCACATACTTCACTCATCTTCACTGTGATATACGTTTGTACTGTAAAAACAAAGAGCTCCTGTCCTTTCCTAGGTATCCCACAAGAATGTGCTTAACCTTAAGGTGCTCATGGGACGACGGGGAAACATGTGAATGACATCCTCCAGGTTGATCACGGAAGGGGGGTGGGGTGGGAACACACAATTAATCTAATCAACCAGAATTACATTTCCACAAAGTGGTACACTAGATATTTGAGAGAGACGCTGCAGAATAAATGCTGATCGCTACTCAAAGAAACTTAGAAAGAAGGAAGGAAGACCTGTATCTGTGATGAACAGAAAACCGGATTATAAGAGCATGTGAGACATTTTGGGGGGTGAGATCTACCCACTGAGACTCCTATGGGAGAGGAGGCCAGGCACTGCCAGGGAAGGAGGAGACAGTGCTGCCAGGGTCCACACCTGGGCTGAGGGGATTTCAGGCTTGGGGGGAAGGCGAGGCTAAGTCCAGGAGGAAGAGGAGGAGAGTAAGACACAGAGCAGCGAGGACAGAAAGGTGCCCTTTCTCTGGGATAGTGTCACAGGATGAGACAAGCAGGTGGGGGGCAATTCAAGGGCTAGGCAGTGTTTCTCAGCCCTGGCCTCAAGACCGACTTGACCAAAGAGCTTCAAAAAAAAAAAAAAGCCTCACCTGTGCCCTGCCCTGGAGCAAAAGAGTCAGAATGGGGAGTGGGCCTGGCCAATTTTACAAGCCCCCCGGGTGGGTGGCTCTATCTTTGAGAACCTCTGACCTCAGGCGTATTCAGATAATCAGCAGTGCTGCGACTGCTGTCAACTAGTACTCCTAATCAACTAGAACCACCTACCTATTAATACCAAGTCACCTCCAGCCCTTTCAGAGGGCACAATTAGCCCAGCAGCAGCAACAGCATCCCAGACTTTATCTCCCTGTGGCTGTTCTTGCCGGGATGACCCACATTTAACCGGTAAGAAATAACATATTTCAAAATCATAGTTTGGAGCTGGGAGAGAGAAAACAATCACAACTGTGTCACAAGATGAGGCGACATGCTCTTTACCCATTTCTGAACGCCTGAATGTGGTGTTCCCATGCATGACTCTACAATGCTGACAAAGTGATGTATTTTGAGTGCCATAATTAAAACGATAATCTCAATAAAGTGGGCATTATGAGATAATTGGCCATCCTCAGGTATTAAGTAAACTGTGGTAAAAGCCAAGGATACTCATCGCCAAGGTCAATTACAATAATTGCTAATCTGAATCACATTATGCTATTGTAAACCCGCTTGATTTAAAACACACACACACACACACACACACACACACACACACCAAAAACTGATTTAACACACACCACAGGGAAATGACCTGAGAAGGAGTTCTTGTTGTTCTTGTTGCCTGACTACGGGTCACTGAAGAATTCCTATAATCAACTTTGTAGGGTCCCCACTTACATCCTATCCCTTTAAACCACACCTGTTTCCTCAGCTCTGCAGTCTGAGCTCATTAAGGAAATGTGCCTCTCAGACATTAGGTGGCTCAGAACGGTAACATATAGGAAGACAGAGTGGCTCTAAATTGATAATAAAATTAGTCCAACATAAAAACAAATACCCATTACTCCTTGAGAGTAATTTTCCCTGCCTCGGCACATTACAGGAAGTCTTCACTGACTTCTGCAGAAACCGAGTCTCTCAGATATGATGGGTTTTAGCTTGTGGGAAGTTATTTCACCCTCCACATGCCACTGTCAGCTTGCCTAGTAGATCAACACTCAGGCTCAAGTAACCAATGGTCAACCAGAAGTCAGGAAAAGCCCGGAAGACAAGAGGGAAAACAGAATGTGTGACCTTCCTTCGGCTAATTGGAATGTGTTTGGCAATCGAAGAGTATAAAACTTCTTTTTTAAGCTGTGATTAAACATCAAGACTTTGATGTTTAGTGTCACCATCAGTTCAACTAAACAGTAATAAAGAAATAATTTCTTAAAGCGCATTTATGCATGCTCAGCACTTCGGTTTACAAGCTCCGATTGTAGGATAGGAACATTTTTCAAAATACCCAAAGATGCTATCCACGATGCAATCCAACTGCACTGACAGCAACAACATACCATTTAATGTAGTGTAATTAAGTGGCCAAGAACGCCACATAAAGCAAAAGAATTGAGACATTTAATCATAGTTATGAGGACAGTTATAAATCTACCATTACTGTGAGATGAAGGAATGGGGAAACCCAAGGCGAACAGCCACACGAAGAACTATGCAACCTGGAGGCTGATGCTAATTAAGCAGTGGATAGTGGGTTTACACAAGGGATCAAGACCCCATGGAGAGTGGGTCTAGACAAGGGATCAAGCTATCAAACAAGACGTGCAGACAGCAGGTCCTTTCAAGCACTCCTGGATGGCACCTCATGTCCTCTGCCCTTTGGTGGAACACAGTGAGCGGGGATAGCAACACTGGGATGTGAAGTCCACCGTGGGCCTCCTCCACGTGAGGCTCACGGCCGCGACAGGCTCTACCGAACAAGGCTGGTAAGTGCTCCTCTTTAGGGGACATCATCTAGTCCCCTACTATCTTAAGTATGGCCCACTGTCCAGCACCGTGGAGATCCCCTTTGAGAGTCTGTCCAAAATACACTCCTGACGGCCCTGCCCTGTATCTAACTAAATCTGCAGTTAACTCACATGTCTGTTTACCCTCATTAAAATATTTGACAAGCACCTGTCTACTTCAACCTCCCCCTCACCTCCTTATACAGGAAGAAACTTGAATCCCTAAGATGAAGGAGCTCAAACTAACAGGGCAGATACTGAAAGACGACCCTCTGATTTTAACAGGAGGCCCAGGAAATGGTGCCTGTGTGCTGCGTCAAAAGAAACCAACCTGGGGCGCCTGGGTGGCGCAGTCGGTTAAGCGTCCGACTTCAGCCAGGTCACGATCTCGCGGTCCGTGAGTTCGAGCCCCGCGTCGGGCTCTGGGCTGATGGCTCAGAGCCTGGAGCCTGTTTCCGATTCTGTGTCTCCCTCTCTCTCTGCCCCTCGCCCGTTCATGCTCTGTCTCTCTCTGTCCCCAAGATAAATAAACGTTGAAAAAAAAAAGAAACCAACCTGTATACAGAGCAACAAGGCATCATCAATAAAAGAGGACAGAAGGAGTCAAGAGAATGACAAAGGGGATTGCTTCATTAGGTAGGACAGGTCTGGGTTCAAATCTATTCTACTTGGGCCAAGCAGTCTATGAAACAAGTATGAAGTGAAAATTTACAAATTCTAGAAATATAAAAGATGAAAAGGACATTAAAATGTGTATTGGGAAAGAAAAGCTCTAGAGAAGGAAAAGTTGTGGAGTCTCCACTTTACTTTTTTGAAGGGCGATGGAGACATGAGAGGAAACGTGGCATCCGCGGGGCCACCACACAGGACTGTGGAGAAAGCGGATGGACCACCCCGGGCACCATAAATTGTGCTCCTGCACAACCGTACGTCGCCACACAAACTCACGA